TTGTTTTTAAGAATAGGGGAAATCCAGGTATATTTGTAGGCAACAAAGAGAGGGAGAGATTTAAGACTAGAGAGAGGGTAAGTATGATGATGGGGCATTATTGGTTGGTTGAGGAAGATGGGAAAGAATGGGATTAAAAGTATGTAGAGAAGTTGACCTTATCAAGAAGAAGGGCCACCTCTTCTTCAGGGACTGGAGCAAAGCAAAGGTCATCAGTGGTGATGCTGAGGGGTTGTGGTACAAGAAGAAGAGGAGAAGGGGGCATCTATCAGCAAATGGTGGCAGTTTTTTTCAGTGAAGTATGAGGCCCTCAGCTGAAAGAGTTCCCCTGCAAACTGGAGGAGACAAGAAGAGGTTTACAACAACCACTGTGGTGAGGAATAAAGAATCAATTAGAGGGAATGTAGAAGGATTGTCTTGTTCATTGAAGGCCCAGTGGAGATTAGAAAACATAAATTTGGAGTGGACTGAGAAAGAATTGTCAGACAGTTGGCCTATTGGAGTGGAAATGGGTCCAAGTTCGATGTCAGCTGCAACAACCCTGGGAGGTAGGTGCTATTATAATTCCCATTTTAAAGATGAGGAAACTGAGGCAGCTAGAGGTTAAATGACTTGCCCAGGAGAATATAGCTAGTATGCATCTGAGGCTGGGTTTGAACTCAGGTCTAGCCTAGAATCATGAATGAAGAGCTGGAAGAGACCTCAGAGATCAGCACCGTCAGACGATTGTCAATGGTGAGACCTTGGTAAATTCACTTCACTTCTTTGTGCCTCCATTTCCTCATCTGTTAAGTGAGAGGGAGTGGTCCTTTGAGGTCCCTTCCAGCTCTTCATTCCTGATTCTAGGCTATGAGTAAGACCTGAGTTCAAACCCAGCCTCAGACGCATACTAGCTATATTCTCCCAGGCAAGTTATTTAACCTCTAGTTGACTCAGTTTCCCCATCTATAAAATGGGAATTATAATAGCACCTACCTCCCAAGGTTGTTGTGAAGAAAAAATGAGCTAATAAACGTAAAGTGCTTAGCACAGTATCTGATGCATAGTAAACACTATATAAATGTAAGCCTACACACACACACACACACACACACACACACACACACACACACACACACACGGAAAGCCAATTGTTAAACATTTACCAGTACACCTCTGACTAGGCTCACAACTTGTTTCACTTATTAGCTGTGTGACCTTGGGCAAGTCACTTAACCCTGTCTGCCTGACTTTACTTATCTATAAAATGAGCTGGAGAAGGAAATGACAAACCACTCCAGTGTCTTTGCCAAGAAAATCTCAAATGGAGTCACAAGGAGTCAGACATAACTGAAAAATGACTGAACAATACCATGTGAGCTGAGCCTTGAAGGAAAATGGGAATTCCCAGAGGTAGAAGAAGAGGAAGGAGAATGTGCCAAGCATTGAAGACAATCCTTGCAAAGGCCCCGAGGCTGTTTAGCTTAACCAACCCTGCTTCCTCCCTCAGCCAGGGACCCCTCCCCAGCACTGACTGACATCTCCCCTCACTGACAGGTTGTGCTACCTCATCTTAGCTTAAGCAACTTTAATCAGGACGTTGAAGGGACTGGTGGAAGAAACTGAAATTATTCACTGTGAAAAAGAGAAAGCTTAAGGATAAATGGTAGCTGCCTTCAGGAATTTTAAGGGCTATAGTGCAGAAGTAATACACTTTATTTGCTTGGCCCCATAGGAGCAGTGCATAGGAATAGTAGAGGCTAATTTTGAGATGTTGGAGGGGGTAGAATATCAGACTTGGGATCAAGAAGACATGAGTTCAAATCCTACCTCAAATCAAAAGCTTATGACCCCTGGGTGAGTCACTTAATTTTTCTCTGCCTCATCTACAAAGTAATAACACCTCCCTTATAGGGTTGTCAGTAGAATCAAGTGATATAACACATCCAGGTGCTTTTCAAACTTTAAGGTGCTATGTAAATGGCAGCTATCACTATGATAGTTATTCCTTCAAATCATGTTGGACCAAGGATGTCATCTTTGCCACTAGGAAATAACTAAACAAATTGTAGCATATGAATGGAACAGAATGCCATGGCATCTGAGGGACTGATTAATATTAGGAATTCAGAGAAAACTAAGTGCCGCATATGGGACAAGAACAATATTGACCATCACTAAAATGATGTAAATAAAAGCTGGATTCCAAACAATTGCAATGACTAATGTTGGCCCTGGAGAAGAGAGGACGAAACAGTCTTTCCTACTTTTGAGAAAGCACTAGGGAACTATACGTGTAGAATGCTATATACACTGTCACATGTAATCAATTATTGCAGCGGAAGACAGGGTGGGGGTTATTGGAAAATGACTGTGATCTTCTAATAAAAATGCATTAATGAAGCCAATTATTTAAAAAATAAAATGAATGATGCCTCCTCCTTGGGAATTCGTGCCCTGAGTAGTAGCTGAGCATTGGGAAGGGAAACTGCCCTCCCTCCAGTCTTGCTAAGCAAGTCTCCCAAGGTGATTTGCTTAAAGTTGCATAGTAGCCAGTCAGTCAACAAGCATGCCCCAATTAGAACAGGGAGGCACATGCAGCCTTAAAACTATTTGTCACCCCCGATAATCAAGGGGATAGAATTGCCTCATTCTCTGCTCAGGCTCAGAAGATGGTAGTTATGAGTGCTATAGAAGAGAGGAGAAAATATTCCTTGGGTCTTTTCATCCATCCCTTTCCTGATCTGGCCTCTCTTCCTCCAGCCAAATGGCACAGTCTCTGCATCCTAAATATGCCTCAAGTGGTGTATGGATGTTCAGGGATGACGAGCACCTCTGGTGTGAGGGTTTATTGAGTCCTTTCCAGAGCTGCTTGTCCACCTTTGGTGTCCACCTTCACCCAATTGTCACCTGTAGCTCTAAGAAGCTATAGTATGCACAGTGGCTGCACCCTGGTAAACCACCTCAGCAGACGGGCTAAACCAAGTTAAGGGTAACCAACAGGGTTCAAACCTATCACTGAGTTAGGGGGATGTCCACCCCAAGCATGTGAAGACTTTTCTCAACAGAATGAGCAGATGACAATTTGTTCCAATGGCCACAAAGGCGGCTGAAGCAGGTATTGTAGAGCCCCTAGAGCTTGGCATCTTTTCGGACATATTTTGGGAGCACGTTTTTTATAAGTATTGATCTCAACTTGTAGAAAATAAAAGCACAATTTGTGGTGATTTGGATCTGATTTATAAGAACAAATGAAGGAATCTATGTCAATATATAATTTCATTTCGTTGATACAGTATTAAAAATATGGACGTTTCAGATGGTGCTTTTAGGAACTGGGTCTTATATATATTGACTAAGTCAATAAACAAAAAAAAAATGTACCATGTGAATTTACTTTGATGCCAAGCATCAAAGAAGCCAAGGTCATTTACTGCATCCTGCATCATTTCCATTTGTCTTGACTTTTGTCCTGCCACTGGAACTCAGTGACTCAGGAAGAGAGCGTCTGATGGCATTGGTGCAACTCTGCCTCGCTTAAATCCATTCATGGGCAAGCCAAGACATCACTCGTGATATCCCTGGTCTTCTTCAAAAACAAAGAACAAACAGCAACAACCCCAAAAATCCCAATTCATTATGCATCCACTATATGCCAAGCAGTGTTCTAAGCAGAGATACAAGCAAAAAGAAAGCTCCTGACCTCAAAGAGCTTACATTCTAATAGGGGAAACAACATACAAAAGGGAGTGTAAAAGCAATTGGAGGAGGCAAGAAGGCACAGGGGCCTGATGGAGAAATCCAGAGGAATGTCACCCGGTGGGAAATTAAGAGATATCTGAATTGGGTGCCTTTCACACATGGAAGTTTTGGAAGGGCTTATTCAATAAAAGGGAGGGGCTCCTGGGTAGAGGGAACTTTAGAGGTGTGAGCTCCAGGGCTGAAGTGATCTTCTAAAATGAAAAGGTCTCTCTGGGACAAGGTAGAGAAATCCAGAGGAGTGCAGCCTTGTAGGAAATGAAAAGATGACTAGCTAGTGGTAGCATGGGAAGTAGGTGGAAGAAAAGCAGTTTAAAAGACACATTAAATGCCTGAACATTCTCCGATTGCCTGGGTGGCAGGGTCTGACACACAAAAGAGGTGAGACAGCCCCCTGTGACTAGAAGCTGAAAGAACTGTGGAGAAAAGGCCACATAGCAACTGCAATTCAGGAAATAACCAGAAGGTGGCAGCAATGTATCCCGCAAAGAATCGCTCTACAGCGACATTAGAAAATGGCATATGATAGAATAAACCAGCAGAGGGCACCCCTAACAGTGTGTAACTTCCTGCAGAGAAGGTAATTTATAGCCTGTTGACTTCTCCATATTAACAGATGACACTGGCAGCTGTTGAGGGAATTAAGCATCAGCAACAGAGACAGGGAGATAATCCAATGGGTCACACCAACCTAGGTGCCTGAGTGGCCTGGCTAGATGTGCTCCCTAACCACATGTGTCCCCATATGTCTAATTTTTCCCACCCATTTCACTCTAACAATGCATGTTCCTCCCCACGTGCTTCTTTTACAGGAGGCAAGGTATAGCTATACACCTTGGACAGTGTATAGCTATATACATGAAAAGGGGATGGAGGTTCCCTTGCTATTTACCTTAGATGTCTTTTGCTGTTAACTATAGTTATGAAGTGATGCTGACCCAAATCATGTCTGGATATATGTTTGTGTGTGTGTGTGTGTGTGTGTGTGTGTGTATATATATGTGTGTGTGTGTGTGTACGTATATATGTATGTGTGTGTGTGTGTGTGTATGTATACACTATAACAGTGTAGGGTGAAAGGAATGGGTGGGTGGAGAATGGGTCCACTTTAAGTGAAAAAGAGCTCAGAAGGGAAAGCCCGGGAATACTCCCCTCACCCCACCCCTCAAAAAAAAAGTTCATTTACTTTATTATTTTGCTCAGGTCAGGCTCTGCCAATAGCACAGAAATTAGTATAAAATAGAAGGACAGTAGAGGCATGATAATAGTACTACCTCATATTTTTGTAACATTTTTAGATTTTCAAGACATTTTCATGTATCTTTCTAATTTGATCCTCCGAAGAACCATGTACAGTATGTACAATTTTATCCATTTGGACGGTGAGAAAACTGAGTCTGGGAAAGATTTAGTACTTTGACTTAGGATGTCACTATCTCCTCCTAAGGAGGAGGAGATACACACACACACACACACACACACACACACACACACACTCACACATATGATTTAAGGGAGGGTTTCCTGTTATGGTTCTAGATTAAAGGGGCAGCTGACCTAAAAGACCATCTTGCTCATTTTTTAAAATACAGAAGCTGGGTCCCCAAAGGGGAGGTGATTTATGAAAGTCACACTGTTAGTGACAGAGCTTCTTCCTTAATATTTCCTATGTTAAGATCTTTCAGTGGTCAATGAAGTGAGAGCCAATGCAGTTGAAGCCCCTTTCAAGAGGCTGTGAAGGACCAGGTCACTAAATCAGAATGTATCGTGGTCTCCAGACACCATCAGTGAATTGTGCTGGCACTGATGAATGTGTTACCAAGTGCTGAGAATGATTAGAGAGAAACATCCCCAAATGCTGCATCTCTGAAGGCTAGAGGGACCAACCATGAGCATGAGATGAATCATGAGCTTCACCGTTCCAACATCTCTCAATCCATTGAAGGAAGCCTGCCAGTCACCAGTTATGTGAACTTGGGAAAATCTCGTGACTTCTCTGGGCCATAATTTCCTCATATGCAAAATGGGGATTAAAATGCCAATCCTGATGATCTCACAGATATGTTATAAATATAAAAATGAGCTAATGTGTGTGAAATGCCTTGAAAAAAGAGAATTCTATGCAGAGACATGGGGCTCCAATTTGGGGTTTTCTATTTCTAAAAAGAAGTCAGTATTATACTGTCTCCTAAGTTTTGAGTCAGGGTAACAGGTTGGTTTTTGTCTGAAGATGTGCCGATGAACCAGCCAGAGTAGGCAGCTGACTCGAGGGTAGAGGTGCTGCCAGTCTGATTCAGGTAAAAGACAAAAGGCTTCACTGCCTCAGGTGTTTTGTACAGGTCTGCTATGTTCTTCTCCTAAGGGAGTAAAGAAAAACCCTGTTAGTAGGTCAGTGAACAGATTAAATAAGAAACCATTGACCTTATTGATCCAGTGTTTGATAAGCATGGAGTGCTTGCAGAACCCTCTATATAACAAAAACTGCTAGGAAAAGGTTTGGTGAAATCAAATTTAGACCATCTTCTTACACCACATATCATAGTAAGCTCAAAATGAATATGCAACCTAAATATTGAAGATTATACAAAAAAAGAAACCTAGGAGATAACCAAATCAGCTACTTTTTACAGCTGTGGCTGGGGAAAATTCTTAGGGAAACATGGAATAGAGGCAATCAAATGTAAAAAAGATAATTTCAATTACATGAAGTTGAAAAGCTTTCATACTAACAAAATCAGGTTTGAATATGTTCTAGCTTAATTATGTACTTCCTAAAATGTAGCACCATAAACTGAACATAGTACTTCACGTGCAGTTTGACTAAGGCACAGGTACATCACAACTGCTACCTCATTTTTTTTCTGAGAGTTATGTCTCTCAAGGCAGCCTAAAGTATAATTTGGTTTTTGGCTTCTATTTCACTCTGCTAATTCATATTGATCTTACTATTAGGAGCCTTCCTGTTCAAGCATCCTTGGAAATATCTTAAGTTAAAATAACAAGTGTATATATATATATATATATATATATATATATATAATTTGGAGAAGGGGAGGAAGAAGGAAAATGCTTCTTTCACTCAGCTTTAGCCAGGAATATAGGTCTCAGGGGAAAAAATAGTCCCCAACAGGTCAAGGACTTAGGACACAGTTTTCTATTATAAATAAAGCAGGACTATTTTAATTTAAAACTAAATACTTCCTTGGAAAAGGCAACCTACCTCCATCATGGCCTCTAACATCTCTTTCATCCTTGAAGCTCTTGGATTCTGTGACCTTTTGGTTTGGCAGAGCTAATAAGCATAGAAGATATGAAGTTACTTCTAACCCTCAAGAAGACAGAGCTGAGCAGGCCTGGATCCAAGCAAAAAAGGAGGTGCCTAGAGATATGTGACTTGACTAGAGTGGAAGTAGGTAAGACTTCAAGACAAGACTTCCAAGACTTTCTAATAACCTTCCCCTCTCTTCCCTCCCAGATGGTCATAGCAATAATCTCTTGACTTTTTTTTTTCTTTCTTCTCTATCTGATATCCAAAAGAGTGGAAACTGCTTTCTTCTGCTCTCTCTGTCCCGTTTCCATTCTCTTCTGGAGGACATAGTAATAAAGAGCATATTGGCTCCTTGCCCTCTCAATATCAATTAGATATTTGTTTATATTGAGCACTTACTCTGTGCCCAGTACTGTGCTCAGACGTAGGATAAAAGGATTGAAGGCAGAGGAGAAACAATCAACAGTTTCTTTTTTTTCACATTTCCCCCCCTTTATTCTAGCAGTTGGGAAATCCACATGGCCTTCTGTGAAGGCAGGTAGCCTCTTTTCTGAAATAATTGTGTCATACTTTTAGGATTGTTGTGAAAGATTCAATTTTCCTTCTATTGAAGCCATTGTAAAGGATCCGTGAGATTACGTTGAATAAGGAATTTCCCCTGATGCAGAGAAACAGTCTTGACTGGTCTCAAATTGTGCTGTACTTATTTTGGGGTCATTACTGAACTAAGAGTTTCATCTGTAGTCCATGGGCTTCATGGTTCACATTAAATACTTTCCTAATAAGAGAGCAAAACCGTGTCTTATTTTGTGGGATGAGTTTTCCAGACAGTCCACTGGTCTGTTCTTAGATCCTGAGAGATTTGGGAGGTTCAATAGCATTGCAGTTTGTTAAACTTTCAGATTTTTTTTTACAGGACTTAGATTTCCATCCTAGCACTGACATATAGTAGGCACATGAGCACAGAAAAATCACTTAGCCTCTCTTGGCCTTAGGTTCCTCACCTATAAAATAAAGGTATTATACAAGATGACCACTAAGGTGCCTTCCAGCCCTAATTTATAAATACTGTAGTCTTGTGTTCTATTCATCTATGTCTCCACAATTTTGAACTTATGAAATTTTTTTCTCCAGTAAACAAATTTGTTAGTTCCTACTAAATTTCATCATATTAGATTTTGTCCACTCTTCTATCCTGTCAAAGAAAATTTCTTTAAAAAGTGTTCTTTAACAAAACATATCCATAAAAATTATAAATGATATGAAACTTCTATATTGGCTTTTCTCTGCCAAGTTTTACTCTCTCCATTTTCAACAACTCACCACCAACTGCAGCGTGGGCTGTTCTCCACTCATTGCACAACACAGACAAAGGCCTGATGCCTTTATACCCAGGTAGATAGGCTGCCCTTTGTCTTTAGGAAGATTCATCTCTACATGGTAATATCTCCAGAGTCACTGGAAATACAACAGAAGAAAAGGGTGTCAAATGGCCAGATCAATCACACAGATGACAGTACACTTAATGTAGCAATAGATCGTTTGTGGAAAAGTAGATGGAGGGTAAAGGACTTTTTAGGGTACCCTCCATTTCTAGGTCAGTGGTTCGCAGATGCAGCCTGGGTCTCTGTGTATCTATCTCCTTCAGGGAAGTTCTAGAAAGAAGTCCCAAAATCTTGGGCACTACTGTTCTGGCCCCTATCTTTGCTCTCATCTGCACAATCCTTACGGTTAGGTCTCCACCATGCGTTATTTATTCCTTCAACAAATATTTTTAAAGTACATTCTATGCACCAGAAACTGTACTAAGCACTGGACATATAGTCTCTGCCTTCATACAGCTTGTATTCTATTTAGGAGTGGATAGAAAATGGGACTTGGAGATGGGAAAACCTGGTTTTGAGTCCTGCTCTGAAATATACTAGTTGTGTGGCCCTGGAAATATAATTTAGCCTCTTGGGGGGTGCCAGGCAACTTTTTAAGATAATAAATATAAGCAGGCTTCTGACCAAGCCTGGGGCATTTTGCATGCTACAGCTTATGCAGAGAGAGATGTGACTTTTTTTTGGGGGGGGGTGAGGCAATTGGGGTTAAGTGACTTGCTCAAGGTCACACAGCTAGAAAGTGTCAAGTGTCTGAGGCTGGATTTGAACTCAGGTTCTCCTGACTCCAGGGCTGGTACTCTATTCACTTAGCCACCTAGCCACCCTGGGATGTGACTCCTTATTGGCAGAGAAGGCTGAGCATAGTGCCTCCTGTCTGTTGAAAGACTTAGAGGGTTGGTGCCAGCATTTGGAGGAAGAGAGAGAGATAGTCCAGACTGAGACTTTTCAGGAGAGACATGGGAAGGGAGAAGCAGCAGACATGGAAAGGAAGCCAGTTCTACAATGTGTTCCTGATTTTTAACCTGCCTCCCTAGAAGCTGCTACAATTGATATTCTTGGCTGAGAATAGACACTATTGTGGTTAGAGATGAGATGTTTATCTTGGTCTCCATTGAAAAGCAAGATACTCTTTATTGTATATTTTCTGATATGTTTTAATTGATGGAAATGCTCCAATTTCTACTTTTTGTTTTTCACATAGATAAATGGGGTCTACTAGTGATCTATTATATTTGAGGCAGCCAGGTGGCATAGTGGATAAAGGACCAGGCTGGAATCAGGAAGACCTGGGTTCAAATGCAGCCTGAGACATGACCCTGGGCAAGTCACTTAGTCTCAGTTTCCTCATCTGTAAAATGGGGGTAAAGTAACGCCTATCTCCCAGGGGTGTTGTGAGAATCATGTGAGATAATAATTGTAAAATGCTTAGCACAGTGCCTGGCACATAGAAGGTACCATGTTAGATATTATTATGATGGTCTTTTGTGTAACTAGTATTTTGTTGGGAGGAGCCAAGTTGGAGAATGAAAGTCAAGAGCTATATCCCATTAAGGATGACCATGGAAGCAGTTTTCCATCTGAACCTAGACTTACACTAGATGAGATCAGAGGTATTTGAAGGAGAGAGGAATAGTTAGATATAATTCTATCATGATACTCCTCTCAGAAACTGGAGAAAAGAGTGCAGAGCCTCTGTACTACCACTGGAGTCTGTCTCCTCATCCCTGCAGACCCCTTACCTCTCACCTCCTCTCTGAGCCAGCATGTGGACGTAATGCTTGGCTTTCCTCCTCTACAGAGGTAGGACAGGCGTTAGATCATATCTACCCATGCCCCCCATGAACCACATCTATACATTTAGACAACCCATGTAGGCATGCCTATCTCACACGTAGGTACCATCAACTCTACAACACGTAATTTGCAGAGACCCGCCTTGTTAGAAGGCACTTCCTTGTCCAGGAGTTCCTTACACCAATGAAATAAGAAATCCAGATTTTATTTCTATCATATGCACACACTCACAAAAAAATATTCAAAATAGATCCAAAGTAGTTCCTGGAAAGAGGGCATTAGTGATTGGGTTGTACAGAATAGATATTCTGTGGGAAATGTCCTTTCAGCTAATTTAGAAAAGAAGCTAAGGATTCTATGAGGCTAAAGTTAGTGGAGAAGGCATCCCAGGAAGTGGGAACAACCTTGTAAAATCTTGGAGATGGGAGATGGAATGCCAGGTACAGGGAAAAGAAACTAGTCAATATTACTTGCACATGAAGTCCATCAAGTCAGTAAGTTAAAAAACATTTATTTTATTAAGGACCTACTATTTTCTAGGCATTGTGTTGAGGGGTAGGGTTACAAAGGAAGTTATAAAATAGTCTCTGATATCAAGGAGCTCATAGTCTAAATGAGGGAGATAATATTAAGAAATGTGTACATAGGAGTTTCTAGGCTTATTATGTACAAGTGTATATAATAAGCCGAGAAAAGTGGGCAAGAGCCAGATTGTGAATGGCTTTAAAATCCAATCCAATCAGAAGAGTTCTCATTGATCGTAAAGACGAGAGAAAGATATGAATCAAAAAAAAAAAAGAGAGAGAGAGAGAGTTATGGAAGAGAGGCTTGGAGAGAGAATTAACAGCAAACCCATACCCAAGGGACATATTGTCCCAAACTTTGAAAAGACCAAATAGAAGTTAATAACTTCAAGAGAAAAAAGAAAGACTAAACCAAAGTCCAAAAGCTCACAAAACAGAAGAAGATGTAAAGTATCTCATGGCAAAAATAACTGACCCAGAAAACAGATCAAGGAGGGATCATTTAACAATCACTGGACTTCCACCATTCTGGAGAACAAAATGGAATTATTCCCAAAGAGCTATAAAACTATGTATACCCTTTGACCTAGCAATATCACTGCTAGGCCTATATTACAAAGAGATAAAAAAGGGAAAAGACTCAAATGTACAAAAATATTTATAGCAGCTCTTTTTGTGGTGGCAAAAAATTTGACACTGAGGAGATGCCTATCAATTGGGGAATAGCTGAACAAGTTGTGGTATATTGTTGTGATGGAATACTATTGTGCTATAGGAAATGATGAGCACAATGATTTCGGAAAACACCTGGGGAAATGTATATAAACTGATGTAAAGTAAAGTGAGAAGAACCAGAACATTGTACACGGTAACAACAGTATGGTAATGGTGATCAAATGTGAAAGACTTAGATACTTTGATAAAGACAATGAATGACCCAAGGCAATTCCAAAGGGCTCATGATGAATAATGCCATCCACCTCCAGAGAGAAAACTGGTGAACCCTGGATGCAAACTGAAGTGTATGTTTTTCCCACTTTCTTTATGTTTCTTGCTTTTTGTTGTTTTGGGTTTTTTTAATTTTGTTTTGTTTTGTTTGTAACATGGCTAATATGTAAATGTGTTTTGCGTGGAAAAAAAAATAAGGTATTAACACTGAAAAAAAAACAATGGACTTTCTGAAAGCCATGACCAAAAGAGAGAGAGAAAGACAGAGAGATAGAAAGAGAGAGAGAGAGAGAGAGAGAGAGAGAGAGTAAATATCCTGTTTCAATAAATCATGAAAATCATGAGAGAAAGTTGCTCTTTTTTAATTTTTTAAACATTTTTGTTTAAAGTTTTGAGTTCCAAACTCCATCTCTTCCTCCTTCCCCCCTCACTCCCTGAGACAGTAAACAATAATATATAGATTATACCCATGCAATTATGTAAAATATTTCCATATTAGTCATTTTATGCAAGAAGACTCAAATAAAAGAAAAATAAGAAAGAAAGTGGAAAAACAGCCTTATTGAATCAATATCAGTTGTTTCTCTGGAGGTAGATAGTATGCTTCATCATTAGTCCTTTAGGATTGTCTTGGATCACTGTATTGCTGAGAATAGCTAAGTCATTCACAGTTCTTCATTGAACAATGTTGCTGCTACTATGTACATCATTATCTTGGTTCTGTCCACTTCACTATGCATCAGTTCATGTAAGCCTTTCCAGATTTTTCCTGTTTGTCATTTCTTACATCACAATAATATTCCATTACAATCATATACCACAGCTTGTTTAGCCATTCCCCAATTGATGGGCATCCCTTCAATTTCCAAATCTTATCCACCACAAAAAGAGCTGCTATCAATATTTTTGTACAAATAGGTCCTTTTCATTTTTGCTCTATCTCTTAGATCTAGAGAACAAAGTAAAAATAAAAATAATCCATCAGTTCCTTCCTGAAAGAAACCTTAAAGTGAATGTGCTAGGATTCCTAGTATTTCTAGAAATGTCATGGCCAAAACTCAGAGCTTCCAGGGCAAAGAAAAAAATTTGAAAAGCAGCAAGAAGGAAAGAATTCAAGTACCAAGGAGACACAATCAGGACCACCCAAGATTTAGCAGCTACCACTACAAACAGAACGTGGAACACAATATTCGAAAAGGCAAAAGATACAGGCTTAAATTTACCCAGCAAAATGGAATATAACCTAAAGGTGAAAAAAATTGAACCTTTAATGAAATAAAGGCATTCCAAGGATTCTTAATGAAAAGACCAGAGCTTTGTAGAAACTTTGAAATACAAACATAGAAGAAACACAAAAAGGTGAATGCAAACAAACAATTAGAAAAGTCTTTTTCAAGGATGACATGTTTGCATTCTAATGGAAGGGGGGAGGATAATACAAGCATCCCTTAGGAACTGGGATGTCAACAGGAAAGAATAATCAGAAGGTACAAATAAAAGTTATACAAACAAGAAAAGGATGAGGGGAGTGGGCATCACTTAAACTTCACTTTGACCTGATAGAAAGGAAAGTGAGCAGAATTAGGAGAATAATTTGTAGTATAACAACAATAGTGTAAAAGCAAACAATTTTGAAAGACTTAAGAATTTTATCAACAAAAGGATCAATCACTATTCCAGATGACCTAAGATGTGGAATGCTGCCCACTTCTCGACAAAAAGAAGATGCTCTAGATATACAGAGTGAGATATGTTTTGGGATGTGGCCAATGTGGGAAGTTTTGCTTGGCACATTTGTTGCAGGGCTTTCTTCTTTTTTCTAGGGTGAGGGATGCGGAGGAAAAGAAAGCAGATCTTTATTAATTGATAAAAATAAAATATAATTTGAAAAAAGATAAGAGGGTATCATTGAGACTTTCTGAGCAAAAGAGTGACATTGTCAGACTTGTGCATAAGGAATAACACTTTGGCAGTTGTATATAAATTGCAGAGAGGAGAGACTGGAGTCAGGAAGTCTTGTTAGGACAGGCGTTCTTAACCTGATGTCCATAAATAGAATTTAGGGAGTCCATGAAGTTGTATAGAAAAGATAACACTTTTTATTTTACTGAACTGTAACTGAAATTTAGCATTTTCTTCAATTATTTAAAATAACTTTTTCTGATAAATGGTCCATAGACTTAATGATATCACCAAAAGCATCCATTATGTAAAAATGGCTAAGAATTTGTGAGTTAGGAGATTACTATAATATTCCCAGTGAGAAGTGATGAGAGTCTGAACAAGGGTGATGGCTGTGGGATTGAAGAAAAAAAGATAGAAGACAGGAATGTTGTGGAGTTGTAATCAACAAGATGTGACAATTGAATGTGGGATGGGTACTGAGAATCCTTATAGATTACTAACTCAGGTGACTGGAAGGATCGAGATTTCCTCAACAGAAACACAGAAGTTGGGAGGAGTGTAGGTGGCTTTCCAGTGCTTAAGTCTCCTGACTCCCAAAGCTATATACTTACTCAGTTACATTGGACAACAATCATATTGCATCACAAAGGGTTTATAGGGGGTCTCTGGCGAGTCCATGGCAGATTTTAGTGAAGTCTCTCTGGGCAAGCAGAGAGAAAGAGACTGAGAATTTTACACTGAGCAAGCAGCTATGAATGCTCCAAACTGGAAAGCCAGTTCAATGAGAAAGCATGGGGCCAGAAAGCAGGAGACCCAAGTACTAGTCCTGACCTTGCCCTGCTAGCTATAAGCTTGAGCACTTACATAGCTGCTTTTGGGCTTCAGTCTTCTCATGTATAAAAAGAGGGGAGGTGGGGTGACAGTTCATGTTTTATCTCCCTCACCAAATTCTTGTAAAACTTACAGGAGCTCATAGGAGCATGCTTCTCAAACATAACAGTGCTATGCAAATGGAAGCATATTAGAATCACTGGCCGCAAAGTCTAGAACCTGGGATCTAGAGAAATAACCTCCCAGGAAACATCTCAGGGGAAGAGATTGCATAGGACAGTAAGTTCAAGGTCTGCTACTGGGGCCACCCCTACTTTGCTTTCCTTTATTCCCCTTCTGTACCTTTCATCTTCTACATTCTCCCTGTTTCTCACTTTTTCCTCTGGAATGAGAGTCCTACCTAGGTACTGTCTTAGAGGTGTTCTCTTCAGCTCAACCCATCTGAGCATCCTTTCATCCTGTACATCTGTCTGTCTCCATTGAAAAAGCTTACTTTAATTACAAAAAAGGGCCAACCCCACCTTTCCTTCCCATTTTTCACCGATATATGTGGGACTTTCCCTACGTCCATTAAACACAATAAATTACACATCACTGGAAATGAGAATGACAATGTTTCCATTCCAAGGAGGCACTGTGAACAGAAGACAAGGTTGCCTCATAAAAAGAAGCAATAGGACAGAGGCTTTGACTCACCTGGGTTCACATTCTCTTCATAGGGAGTTGCTATAAGTGTCCCATTCAGAAGAATCCAGACCTGTTGATGGATGTCATGAATTTTCCCAAGAGGAGGATGTTCTATGGATTGTGACTCCTGACAATTCCACAGCAAATTTCCCCAGATTCTTTTTTTAATATTGCTTGGGTTAGGGAATGCTGGAACAGAAGGTGAGGATAACTAAGGAATCTTACTATAACTGATGAATTCCCCCAGTGCTCCCAAGTCCATAGAAAGGATGGTGTGATGATCTCTCCTCTTTTCTAGGCCAAGGCCCAGGGAGAAGAGAGGGGGAAATGCACTATTTGGCCCATTCTGGCCTCTATCTACCTGGATGTTTTCCTACAAATTCCCCAGGTAGAGCTCCCTCTGAAACTCTTTGCTGCAGTCCCCTTATAGAGGTGGGTAACAGAGGCCAAGGAGAGGAGAATTCCTATGTTAGTCACTTAATGATGGCTTTAAAAGCCTCACTTAGCACCCGCCTAGTCCTGTTATGGAAGTCTGAACAGAACGTGGCTGCTAGAATCAAACAGAACAAGCCAAAAATCTTCCATATGACAGCCCTTAGTATAGGGATTATGGCTTTGCTCCTTCCCCCTTCCCCCTAGCTTTCTCTTCTCCAGGCTAAAAACCTTCCACTGATCTCTGTAGGATGGAGCCTCAAGTCTCTTCATTGTCTTAGTTGTCTTGGTTCAGACATTTCCAACTTATCAATGAACTACATATATCCAGCATCCCTTTCCTCTGACAGGCTCCATTCAGGGAGTATTGTAAACTTTGGGGTTGCTGTACTCACCTATTTTAGAGAGAATCCTATCAAACCCCTGAGTTGATTTGTAATCCATTTCTGCAGAGGAAAAGTTCGTGAGGTCCCTGGTGTTTTCCCTACCTGAAGGTCCATCATTCATTTCCATGGCTAAGTGGATCCCTGTGGTACCTGTAGAGGTAAAAGAGTCAGTGGCCTAAAGAATCAGACTTAAGGGAGTAGCAAGGGACACCCCCAAACAACCCCATCCTTGCTGCTGAGTGATGAGTGTTTACCATTAGGACAATCAGAATGGGAGGTATGTACCTTATCTTGCAACATCCTAAAACCCAGTATAGTTCCATGAAAGCTCTGTCTTCTTGCAGCATTCTTTAGAACAGATAATGAACAACATCTCAAAAATAAATATCCACGAGAGATTCTTCCACTATTGTGATTTGTCCCCTGAAAAGTGCATTCTATGTGTCTGTGCCTAAGGATCTCAAAGCTGAGACAATGTTAACTAGCCTCCCCCCATTTCAAGTTTCAGAAAACTCTGAAGTCTTCAGGAATCTTAGCTTGTCCCTGTGCTGCATGCAGCAGAAATGCAGAGGAAGAGAGTACCCTTCTGCCCTCCACAATGGGACTGATGAATGGAAAACCTCGTATTCAAACCCTGCACAGAGATAGGTCAAGATCCACACCAGCATCTAGAGCCAGAGGAGCAGCAGAAAGAGAAAGATCCCAAAACAAATGTTTCCACTCACAGGTTGAACCTGAGAAGAGGGTACCTGAACTAACCACCAATTCTTATGTTCCTGAGGACTTGAGCTGTGTTTCCTTCAGGTCTCAGAGGCCCAGATAGGTTCTTCTGGGATTTCTCAGCCTTATATCCATACAAGCCAAGAAGACGACACTGTGTCTCTGTAGCTGTACGCGATACCAAAGGGAGAGATATTTCCTGGTGTCGTGGAATCCTGCAGAACAAGAATCTTTTGTAAAGAGAATTCTTGTTGGTCTAGTGGCTGGGCCAAATGGCCCCTGAGATCCCTTCCAACTCTTAATATGTATTCTGCGATTCCTTGGAGCTTGAGCTTCCAAGGGGAGGTGGGGAGGATATGAGCAACAAAGAAATGAAAGTAACTCAGTGTCCTGAAAGAAGTCATTGTGTTTTCCTGGGGTTTTTTTTCTGGGGTTGGAAGGGATTCAAATTGAATAGAGATAGAAAGTCCTCCATAAAAGAACAAGATAGAAACTGCAAAAATGAATACTATGTAATTTTAATGACCAAATTTGTCCCCAAAGAAGAGATAAAAAAATAAATTTTCTTCCCTTCTTTGCAAGGGTGAGGGAACATGGGCATAGAATATTACTGCTATACTTGCAAGTATGAGAGTATATGTCATACATACAAACAGTATGTACATGCATATATAGTTCGTTTATTGCTTTTTAAAAACTTTTATTTCTTCTTTGTTCTTTATTCTTTTTATTTTCATTTTATTGCTTTTATTCTTTTATTATTCTTTATTATGTTCAATGGGTGTGGAAGGGAGACAAATGTATTAAGAAGTGAATGTGATATAAAAGCAAATTATCCCTTGAATACACAGAAGAAGTTTGTTAGGCATCAAAGGGAAGCTCACTAGGAAATAGTTAGCAGGCTCCACTATTCGCTTATTTGAAAAATTGGAGCATTTGCCTTTCTCCCAATCTATATTACCTCTAATATTCTCTAAGATCTTTCAAAGACTAGTAACACAGACTCAGCAATAACAAAGTCAGTTTTTTTCATCACCCCAGCATGGCCTTCATTGAGATCTGGTGATTAGAACTCATCAAGCACAGCTAGGTATGTTTCTACCATCTCCTTCCTTACTGTGAATTTCATCTTCCTATTATTCATTCTTATTCTCTCCTTTCCAGGACAAAGATCATCCTCCTTAACAAAGAAGAAACATACAAAGTAGGAGGTGAGTAGTTCTACCTTCTCTTCACTAACCATTATCATCTTTCCTTCTATTTGCAGTACTCCAGATATTTCTTTGATTTTTCTTCTTTTCCCAATTTAGTTTTAAAAGTCTTTTTTTCCTCTTTAGCTCTTATCTTTTTCTGGACTTTTGTGTTCCTGACACTATTCTAATTGCTATACATTGGTATTCATCCTCACATACCTGACCTTGTTTCCATTTTCTAAACAGCTTGAAAAATCTAAGTTTTAAAAAAAGAAAAGTATAAGCAAAATATTTTAAGAAAACACAAATGTGAGAAGAAACAAGTTCAGAAGGAGACAGAGACAAGCAGGAAAGTTTTATTACCATCAAGTTAATTTAATATATGTTTTAAAACACTCCATGTAATAGAAGTGCACAGTTTCATCTACAATTGTCTTTTTATGTTTTTCTTTTTCTATTAAAATGTTCATTTTATGTTTAGTTAATATTTTTAAAAAAAGAAAATTTAAATTAAATAATAAAGAGTCCATAGAATCTAAGGACAAACAGATCAACAGGGCAATTTTGGTACTACCATGTTAATTTTAACATTTAAACTTTAAAAAAACTGTAAATAGCTAAAGCTTATAATTTCTTATAAAATTTTTGGTTCTTTTTGCATGTTGAATTATTCATGGTTTTAGTGGTCATTACATTCACAGCAATTTTTTTTCAAAATTCAAATGATTTTCTCATAAACACTCCCAATTTAAAGCAACTTTATAAAGTAAATATTGTACCTTTCTAGTGTTGACTCAGTTAAGGATTTCCTTTTTTCAACTGGGAAAATAAAAAACTCTCTGGTATCTTTATGAAATTTGAAAACAAAGAAAATCTAGATTAAAAATGTATTTCCTGAGCATCCAGAAATTCTCTTTACATAACATTTTTTCCCCTTTTCCTTTACATTGAAATTGTTTCTATTTGAATCTTCAGAACCTTATTTTTGAAAGCATCTCTTCATTCTTGGACAACCTCCACCTTGAGTTCCTTGTCTTCTCTGTACCATTCAAATATACTGGCTTCAGACTAAATGCTCTTCTTCCAAACAGCTTGGAGAGATATGAACTAGGCCTACAATTAGGTGGATTGAATAGCTAGAACTTAATAGTAGTTTTTAGTGGTTTCATCTTAATTTGGAAAGAGGTATATGATGGACAGGCCCAAGAATATGTTTGACATGATACTAGTTTAATATTTTTATTCTTGACTTGAGTGAAGGCACGGTTGCTTCCCTATCAGATTTGAGGAAGGACAACAGTGGGAGTGGACAGCTTAGCTAATATATTAGATGATGGAGTCAGGATCCAAAAAAGATCTCAACAAGCTATCAACTCTAATAACATAATAGTTAATATGGATTAGATGTTCAGAAATACAAGATGGGGAAGAAATGGCTCATTAGATATTTACTCGAAAGCAGTCTAGTGGTTTTAGTGGGAGTTTTAATAGACTCCAACATTGAGTCAATGTTATAGTATGCCAGCCAAAAAAGATGATGTGACATGACAAGAGGCATGGTGTCCAGGACTAGGGAAGTGATAGTGTGGTTATGCTCTGCCCTCAAGACTGTGCTTTGACATCAAGACTAGAAGCAACAGTCATGTGATCATTCTTGCAAATTTAATCTTGATTTAAGGGGAAAAAATCCTTAAAATAGAGTTATCCCAAAGTATAATGGCCTTCCTTTAGAAGTAGGACATCCCCCCTACTGAGAAGTCTTCAAGGAAAGGCTGAATACCTACTTTTCCTGGGACATGGTAACGGTAAATGTCTATTGAAGCAGTTTGACTTCTATGATCTTTGATGTTCATTTTAATGCTATGACAGCAAATGGCAGATTCCTGACAAACCTTGAAGCAAGATAACATTGCCTGACTTTTCCTCTGTGAAATAGTCCAAAAGATCTGCCAATTACATGCCTTTTAGTGATGAAACATTTATTCTATAGCCCATCTCTATTTCTAGACTCATCATGTAACTGCATGTTACTTCCTAGAATTATTCTTTTTTTCAACACTTTTGGGCCTTATCTGATACAGATAAGATCCTCAATCCAAGGCAACTGGTTATAATTGAGTGTGAGAAGCTATAATTCTGTTACCTGGTTGACTTCTATTTGCATAATCTAATTTACTTGTTTATAACAAGTGTGGGTATAACAAGAGTATAACAGGGGTGGCTTTTTGACTGAGTCCAAGTTTTACAGAACAAATCCTTTTATTAAGGGGATTTGCTCCATGAAGTTTGGATTCAGTCATCAAAATACCACACTTGAAGACCTAGAGGACCACATGTGGCCTCCAGGCTACAGGTTCCCCACCCCTGAGCTAGAGTAATACCTTAAGAAGAATTGCTAAAGACATTGTGTCTGCCAGACATCCAATTGAACAAATACCACACCATTATTTTTTTCTAATTATGTTCTAAAATCTAGCGACCATAGGTAGTTTTAAGCAAAATGTATATATTTATGTTGCAAATAAACAGTCTTGATCAACTGAGTGGTGAGTGTGGACTCTTCCTTAGATCAAAGTTAAATTCAAATGTAAATACAAATTGTGGATGTCTTTTCTAAGGTGTTTAGCTGAGCAGAGAGGAAAGATAAAGGATAATAGCTGGTAGGCATGACAGGATCTACTTAGAGTTTTTTTTTAAGGGTGAGAGAGACATGGGTCTGTCTGTAGGCATCAAGGAACAAATAAGTAGATAGCGAGAAATAGAAGATTAAAGAATGAATATGATTGTGGAGGTGATCTACTGGAGAGGATGAAAGAGAATGAGATAAAGGTTACATGTAGAGAGATTGACCTTGGCAAGGAGAAGGCATACTTCATCTAAGAATACAGGAAAGTAGACAATAGCAGGAGAGGTGAGAGGCACACAGGTAAACAGTGGAGAATACTTGACTTGGAATCAGGAAGAACTGAATTTGAATTGTGCCTCATATAATTTATTAACCATGTGATCCCGGGCAAAGTGTTTAATCACTCTCCCAGCCAAACACCTATTATGTAAAATGAAGAGGTTAAATTGGATGACTTATAAGGTCCCTTCGAGCTCTGATTCTCTGATTCTTTGAAATACACATGAAGAGCACACAATTAAGGAATACATGTGGCTAGGGGCCCACACCAGAGATCTGTGCATCCAAGGTACATGCGTTGAGGGCATACACGTCAGCAATCAATGTGGCACATATTTTCTGTTGTTCTCTTTGGGTCATCATATTTACCTCTGGTGGGTATACTACCTCTGCTCTCCCTTGTGTTGTTGCTTCTGGCTTTGGTGTTCCAAACTGCTCTCTGCTACCATCTGCTGAGCTTTGGGTCTTCAAAGTCATCTACTGCTCACTGTTCCTATCTACTGAAGTGACATGACTAGGAAGCCTCTCCCTAATAAGATCAAGCTGAAAGCTAATAAGTGTATGAGGATATGTGTGTGTGCATGCATGTATGCATGTATCTTCTGAGTTATTTGCTATAGAAAGCAGGCACAAAGGAGAAAAAGAATAGTAGCTGAGATAATTGGAAATTTATAGGAAACAAAATCCCAGAGAAGAGCCAGTAGGAAAATTCATGATCTCAACTATCTATATACAAATGTCCAAAGTTTAGGCAACAAACAGGAAGACTTAGGCTCTGCCTTTCTTTTTTTCCCTAGTGTTTAATGCAGTGTCTGGCATAAATTCACCCTCAATAAATGCTTTTTGACTGGTTGACTGACTGGCTGGCTTCTATATCGTTCTTCTTTGCCAGGCTTGTGGTCTGTTTCCAAAATTCCCTATTTCATCTTCCTATACAGGTGATCTAGAGTAAAAATGTAGCTCTTTCTTCAACTCACTTCAATTCAGCAGTTATTAATACCTATGCACAAGAAGGTGTTAGAGATACAAAGGCATAAATGAGTGCTTGTTGACTTCCAGTGACTGAGTAAAGGCCCCAACACATGAAAGTGAATTAGACTTCATAGGTATCATTAAGAGTCAGTGGGAAGAAACCCATGACCATACCATATTGCTATGTGGGTATACGATGGTCAAGAGGAAATGAGTAAGTAAAGTGAGTAC